ACAGAGTTTTAAGTGGGCTGGGGTCTTTCTGCGTGGCCTATATCGATGATATAGGGATTTTCAGTGATTCATGGGAAGCTCACCTTGAACATTTGGATCTGGTATTAAGTAGGTTGAGGGAAGCAGGGTTAACTATTAAAGCTTCCAAGTGCAAGTTAGGATACAATACTACCAAGTATTTAGGACATTTAGTGGGAGGAGGTTGTATTTGACCTGACCCTACTAAAGTGGCAGTTATTCACCAGTGGCCTGTGCCCAAAACAAAAAAACAGGTTAGGGCACTCCTTGGATTGGCTGGATACTATCGTAAATTCATTCCATCTTTTAGTGATTTGGCAGCCCCTCTTTCGGATCTTACCAAAAAGAAGAACCCGAATCAGGTAATTTGGACTCCAAATTGTCAAACTGCCATGGATCAATTGAAGAAAGCCATTACTTCGGATTCGGTCCTAATTGCGCCAGATTTTGATAAACCTTTTATTCTAACATGTGATGCATCGGATACTGGGCTAGGAGCTGTCCTAAGCCAGTTAGATGTAGAGGGTGAGGACAGACCTATTTTGTTTTTGAGTAAAAAATGGCATTCCAATGAATATAACATGTCAATGATTGAAAAAGAATGCTATGCCATCATATGGTCAGTAAAAAAATTAAAGCCATATTTGTGGGGGAGAAAGTTTACCTTACAAACGGACCATGCTCCATTAAGATGGCTAGATAATGTAAAAGGTACGAATAACAAATTATTGAGATGGAGTTTATGTTTACAGGATTTTACATTTGAAATTAAACATGCTTCAGGTAAACGAAACATAGTCGCAGACGCCTTATCTAGAATTTCGTATGGTAAAAGGTTTGTATATATGCATTATAATATATTTAACCATATTGTGATTGCCTTTCAGAAATATTGTGTATTTAGATATTGTTGGATAATTTGTGGAATTATTTTTGCCCATTCCGGGAGTGAGAATGGCCCAAAAATAATTTTTCTGTGGGGGAAGGTGTACAGGAGTTGATTATAAATTGTATGATTTTAACTGTATTTGTGTTTAGATTGGCTGCAGTAATGCTGGAGCGGCCTAAGTCAGAGGAGTCCTCCATGGGCGTTGCCATGGAGACCGATGCTGGAGAGAGGGAAGTGGGAGGAGCTTAGCGGGGAGAGTTTGAACAAACGACAGTTAAAAATCAGTTAGGGTTTAGGTTTAGGGGAGTGAGCAGTCAGGAGTTAGGTTTAGAGGAGTGAGGAGTTAGGAGTTGGGAGAGAAGGAAAGGAAAGGTGGGAGAGAAGGAAAGGAAAGAAAACAGTGTGCTGTTTCCCCCCGAGTATTACAGGTTCCACACATATGTGTCAGTTACAACTCTTTTTTTCGCCCCTCCCCTCCATTTCCACAGTTGACATTTCACCTCTCTTGCCTTAGGTTTGTTTCTTTGGAAAGCAATACCTGTCGCAAGGTGGGGCATTCGCAACAGTTAGTTGCAAACCCCCGTTAGGTAATCTTGATTGTGTCTGATGGAAACGTCTTGGGTAAACAGCATCTTGTGTACAGGGCCACTTGCTCAAGAGGCCAAATGTTACATTACCCTTTTGCACATGGGGTGTTTTGGAAATTTAACAAAAAAACAACCTTATCAGATAATGTTAGGTCAACCCACAGATTGAGTCAATACTGAAAAACTATTCTGATTTCTGGGTTGTTGGGAGCTTTCTGGGCTGTATGGCCATGTTCCAGAAGCATTCTCTCCTGACATTTCGCCCACATCTATGTGACAACTTCACAACCTCTGAAGATACCTGCCATAGATGTGGGTGAGACGTCAGGAGATAATGCTTCTGGAACGTGGCCATACAGCCCAGAAAACTCCCAGCAACCCAGTGATTCCAGCCATGAAAGCCTTCAACAACCCAGATTCTGATTGTGAAGCAAAACTTTGAGGCTTTGAAAAGCTGGGTTTGGCTATTGGAAGTTTCTCAGGCTAGTGCAGCCG